CCCAGACTCATTTCTCTTGGTCTCTTATATCTCATTTGTGGAACATCCCCATTCCCACCCTGCCAGGCGAATGCTCATGCCAAGATTCAGATCCTCCAGGAAGGGTTTCATAACAGTTTCCCCAAGTTGAATTCCTTCCCTGGAGTCTCAATTATATCATATTCAAGTTTATCAAAACACTTACCACCCTTTTCTTTTGTATTTCTCATAAATTTCCTATTTGATTGTGAACACGTGAGGTCAGGAGCCACATCTTATTTACATTTACATTATCAACATCTAGTCCTATACTTGGCACCCAAAACAAAATCTATACCTGAATGAAAAAAATGTATAGTTAAAACCATACAGTCTGGCTAGGTGCAGTGGCTCACATCTGTAATCTCAGCATTTTGGGAGGCCAAGACAGACAGATCTCTTAAGGTCAGGAGTTCAAGACCAGCCTGGCTAACATGGTGAGATCCCGTCTCTACTAAAAATACAAAAATTAGCTGGGCATGGTTGTGAACACCTGTAATCCCAGCTACTCAGGAAGCAGAGGCAGGAGAATTGCTTGAACCCAGGAGGGGGAGATTGCAGTGAGCTGAGATTGCACCACTGCATGCCAGCCTGGGCCAAAGAACAACACTCTGTCAAAAACAAACAAACAAAACAGAAGGTGGCTGGCAAGATAGCCAAATAGGAACAGCTCCGAACTGCAGCTCGCAGCGAGATCAATGCAGAAGTGGGGTGATTGCTGCATTTCCAACTAAGGAAAGTGGCTCATCTCATTGGGACTGGTTAGACAGTGGGTGCAGTACATGGAGGGCAAGCAGAAGCAGGGTGGGGCATTGTCTCACCCGGGAAGCGCAAGTGGTCGGGGAACTCCCTCCCCTAGCCAAGGGAAGCCATGAGGAACTGTGCCATGAGGGACAGTGCATTCTGGCCCACATACTGTTTTTCCCTCTGTCTTCGCAACCCACAAACCAGGAGATTCCCTCAGGTGCCTATGCCATCAGGGCCCTGGGTTTCAAGCAAAAAACTTCAGCTAGCTGCAGGAGATTCTTTTTTCATACCCCAGTGGCACCTGGAATGCCAGTGAGACAAAACTGTTTGCTCCCCTGGAAAGGGGACTGACGCCAAGAATCCAAGTGGTCTAGCTCAGCGGATCCCACTCCCACAGAGCCCAACAAGCTAAGAATTACTGGCTTGAAATTCTCACTGAAGCATGCGAGTCTGAAGTTGACCTGGGATGTTCAAGTTTGGTGGGGATTGGGTGCATCTGCCATTACTGAGGCTTGAGTAGGTGGTTTTCCCCTCACAGTAGAAACAAAGTCACCAGGAAGTTAGAACTGGGCAGAGCCCACCGCAGCTCAGCAAGGCTGCCAGAGCCATACTGCTTCTCTAGATGCTTCCTCTCTGCGCAGGGCATCTCTGAAAGAAAGGCAGAAGCCCCAGTCAGAGGCTTATAGATAAAACTCCCATCTCCCTGGGACAGAGCACCCGGGGGAAGGGGCGGCTATGGGCACAGCTTCAGCAGACTTAAACATTCCTGCCTCCTGGCTCTGAAGAGAGCAGGGGATCTCCCAGCACAGCACTCGACCTCTGATAAGGGACAAACTGCCTCTCACAAACATGCCTTCTGTCTGTGAGGCACCCCCAGCAAGGGTCGACAGATACTTCATACGGGAGAGCACCAGCTGGCATCTGGCAGATGCCCCTCTGGGATGAAGCTTCCAGAAGAAGGAACAAGCAGCAATTGTTTCTGTTCTGTGGCCTCCACTGGTGATACCCAGGTAAACAGGGTATGGACTGGACCTCCAGCAAACTCTGGCAGACCTGCAGCATAGGGGCCTGACTGTTAGAAGGAAAACTAACAAATAGGAAGCAATAGCATCAACATCAACAAAAAGGATGTCCACACAGAAGCCCCATCCGAAGGTCACCAACATCAAAGACCAAAGGTAGATAAATCCAAGAAGATGAGGAAAAACCAGTGCAGAAAGGCCAAAAATTCCAAAACCAGAATGTGTCTTCTCCTCCAAAGGATCACAACTCCTCACCATCAAGGAAACTAAAGTGGTCAAAGAATGAGTTTGACAAACTGACAGAAGTAGGCATCACAGGAAAGGAAACATCACACTCCAGAGCCTGTCAGGGGGTAGAGGGATAGGGAAGGGATAGCATTAGGAGAAATACCTAATGTAGATGACGAGTTTATGGGTGCAGCAAACCACCATGGCACATACATACCTACGTAACAAACCTGCATGTTCTGCACATGTATCTCAGAACTTGAAGTATAATAATAACAAAAAAAGATATATGAATGGTCAATATGCACATAAAGAGGTCCTCAACATTGCGAGCCATGAGAGAAATACAAATCTAAACCATAATGAAATATTATTTCACATCCACTAGGATAGCTTTAATTAAAAAGCCAAATGATTTCAAAAAGTTGAAAGAAACGTGGAGAAACTGGAATCCTTGTAGATTGCTGGTGAGAATGTACAATGGTGTAGCCACTTTGAAAAATAGTCTGGAAGTTCCTCAGATGGTTATAGGGTTACCACATGACTCGATTTCACTCCTAAGCATATGCCCAAGAAAAGTGAAAACACATGTTCACACAAAAACTTGTACAAGACTGTTCATGGCAACATCATATGTAAGAGGCAAAAACGTGGAAACTAATCCAAACATCCACCATCTGAGGAACAGATACATAAAATGTGGTATAGCTATACAACGGAATATTATTTGGCCATAAAAGAAATGAGAAACTGATATCACATGGATGTACCTTGACAGTGTTATGCAAAGTGAAAGAAGGCCACATATTGTATGATTAAATTTATATGAAATGTCTAGGATAGGGAAATCTATGGATACATAACAGAAATTAATGTTTGCTTAGGGCTGGGGGAGATAGGGGGATTGGGGTGATAGCAAAGGGGTGCTGGGGTTTTTTAAGTAAATGAAATGTTCTATAATCAGTTGCAATGATGAATGCACAGCTCTAAGAATATTCTAAAATCCATTGAATTTTACCCTTTAAAGGAATGCATTCTTTGGGATGTGAATTATGTCTCAATAAAACTATTAAAAATGTTTTAAAAAAAACATACAGTCTGAGTACAAACACATTCAACAAACTTTCTTGATTCTGAAAAGTTCCCAGTTAAATAGACTCTCATCGTGTTGCCATCACTATTTTGCTACCCAGAAAGGAATAAATTGGGTGATTTTTACCTCTAAAGAATGTTGCTTTAGACGTTTTTGTTTCTGTCAGACGCAGGGCAGTCTCCGCCTCCTGCCACCCTGAAAATGTTAGCATCACTGGGACGAAAGGCAATAGAAAACACTAACACCGCACGGTAATATGCTTTATCAGATTATCCTGTGGAACTAAGCATACTAAGAGATACTTCAAACCTTTCCTGTAATTTATTCAAAAAACATTCAAGGACAGAAATAAATGTCAACTCAGATGAAATAAAGCAGATGTAGAAAACAAACAAAAGCCATGACCAGACATCAAAACTGACCCAATAGGATGTGGGCCTGAAACTGGAAATCAAGCTTCTAAGTTCCATTTAAAATACAACAGTTGAAGGCTGGGTGCAGTGGCTCATGCCTGTAATTCCAGCACTTTGGGAAGCCGAGGTGGAAGAATGGCTTGAGGCCAGGAGTTCAAGACCAGCCTAGGCTAGGCAAGAGGATCCCTTGAGTCTGGGAGGTCAAGGCTGCAGTGGCTGTGATTGTGCCACTGCACTCCAGACTGGGCAATAGAACAACGATCTGTCTCCAGATAAATAAATAAATAAATAAATAAATAAAATACATCCGTTGGAATAAGCCTCTAAAATATAGACCACATGTAAATTTGAAATAATCTTTATTTCATCGGTGTGATCCCTTATCATAAGCAGAGTATAACACAGTGATTCCAGAAAGAGTTTGAAAGGTCAAGACAGACCATGTAATATAAAAACTGATAAGCCATTTCTAACATGACAATTTTTGCCAAGAAAAGCTCTGGAACAATAAGAAGCAGTGGAACTTACAGAGCTATCTCTTAAGTGATAAGCAGGACAAATGTCTTTGTCATTATAGGTTCTTTCTCTTCCTGACACCCACAGTGCCCTGAGTTGGCCTCATGAGGCCAGCTGGAGCAGGAGCTGGAATAAGAGTAGAACCCCAGGGGCCTCTGGGTGGGACTGGGGTCTCTGGGAGCTGCTGCTCAGGATGCACTTAGCTATCAGCAGGGCTTCTGGACACTCACGCCACAGGTGCCTGTGAGGAAGGGCCTTCCACCCTCAGGTCTTTGGGGTCCGGGTGGCACGTGGAGGAAGAGTTGGCCCACATCCTGCAGCAGCTCACCCACAGCCCTCCACAGATAGGCCTTGTTACTTACTGGAGGGTTTGCTTCAGAGATCACTTCTGTGCCCCAGCCTTGGTTACTCCTCTTGTCTTGGTGAACATTAAGCCTCGTATCTTTTCTCTAACTTTAGCCACACTTTTTGGTCTTGAGATCAGCAGCAGCTATTTTACTGTAGGCCATGGAGAACTTGGTTGTTGTTTTTTTTTTTTTTTTTTTGATGTCTCTTCTTGAGGCTTCAGGAGCTGAACCTCACCTTGGAGGTGGCTGATGACAGGTTGGGAGCTAAAAATGTACAGTCATTGCACTGCGTCAGTTTCTCAGCTCTCCAGTGCTGGACCTGTCTACTGAATTATATATAGGGAGGCAGCGTCCTCAACTGATCATGGTTTGCTGTGTCCACACCAGTCTGAGTTAAGCCCTGACAATAAAATGAGGCTGTGCTGGAAGCAGCCCTCTTCACAGCAGACTCGGCAGATGCAGTTCCATTGTTCAGTTTCACATTATGGGCAGATGAAGATGGGGTTCGATGTGTGCACTGGTCCAGGGGTGTTGTAAATTATTTGTCGTGAAAGGGTTTGTTTTATAAACATTTCAAATAATCTAGATTTCCTCATCCTATTTCATTCTTTTCTAGTTTTATAGATATATGCAAATAAGACTCAAAGCTGTAGACAAGAAGAGAAAGTTGTTCCAAACCTCATCAGGTCCATTGTTCATACAGGAATCTGTTTTTCATTTGGAAATTTTCTTAGGTTCATGAAAGAAGAAAAGAAAAATGGGTGGGCACATAGAAATGTATTAAATAGCATCTGTTATTAAAATTATGCTCAACAGGTTCAGCTCTTCTATATCCATTGATTCCAGTCTTAGACCCTATGTTAGGGAAGCAATTGTGGGAGTGGGTTCTTGTGTTTATTGTATGTATTTCTGTATAAGAATTCACTGTTTCATTTCCAGAAGTTCCCATAATTTGGGAGAGGACATTCAATGCTATGGAGCCAGAATTTACACAAGTACTTTTTCAATTTCAGTTTGATTGAGGGTGAGGGTGTGTGAAACTGGGAAGCAGGAAGGAGGTCATTTTATTTTAATTGCTTGGGTGTGGGAGGATCTGGTTATCAGTTTCCTATGAAATGCACTCTATTCTGAGAAATTTGGTACTTGTCTTAGTCACTAAATGGGGATTCTGTGATTCTTTCATTACTTACACATGAACTTGGTGACTTGTAATAACACTTCATGTTTCCAATCTCAACTTGCTCTTTTCCAGCTATGACAAGGATAACATCCCTGCCTCTGGGAGCCTGGCAGCACCTTTTCCATGCTGGCGAGATTGTGCTCTGGCCTGTGCAGAAGAGGAGGCTACTGGATAGCATGAGACTCTGTGGTGATAGGAGAGAGCACAGGGTGAGTCCATTTTCACCCATTTGGGTAACAAAACAAAGAATCCAAGACACACCTAAGTTGTGCTTTACAGACTTGAACTCAGAGCAGGATGAGCTTGGAAATGCCCAGGGTTCCATGATATTGAGCAACGAATTTTCCAAAATATGTAAGAAAAGAAAAAATGAGGTCTGATGGGTCCACAAGCACATCTTTCTGGAGAGTGAACCAGGTGCTAGGTTACACATCTCTGGGCTGATTCAAACAACCTGTAGAACAGTTTCACATGCACCCTCTTCTCCATTTTTTTCGGCTCTTTCAACCAAACCATGAGTCATTTTCCAATGTGGCAGTCTATTCCTCTATGGTTAAGTTAGTTTAGGCAATTTGTAAACCCAAGTATGAAGCTTCTGTTGGTCTAGCTTGAGTAGGAACATTAATGGAGTGCTAAACCTTTAGACAACTCTTTTGTGAAGGCTGGACAATAGATGACTTAACATTGCCTTTTCAGTGGGGACATGGAAGGCCAGTGGTGTGATGAGATAGTTGAAGACAGATACATTGTTCTGGACCAGAGATCTCAACCACAGCATTGGGATCTGCCAAAACCAATTTAACAGGTGAGAAGCTGTTACTCTTCTCCCACTACCTCACAGAGTCAGGCTCTAAGCGTAAATGCAGACAACTCTTCTCATAGGAATTTATTCCCAGCATATCAATAATGAGATTATTATTTAAGAGAGGCTTTAACATCTTAAGGGCAAAAGAGGACAGTCTGTTACCGGAAAGAAAATATTGTTATCATATGATCATTCGTGCATGTCCAGAGGATGATACCCAACAGCTTTGTTTTCCATTTTTCCATCAATGCAGAATCCCTCTCAGAAGCCCTCTCCTCTGGTCTCCCCTCACAGTCTCTGTGCTCTGCTTACCTTTTCTCAGAACCCTGGCTCTCAATCTGTTGTGCCATTTAGTTTCACTACCTGTAAAAGTTCTGTAAAATCTATAGGGTCCTGTTTGTTTTGGAACTAGCTTTAGGTTCTTCAAAACTCAAACACGTTAAACCTTTGTTTTACTAATAGTGCCCACTTTTTATCATGTAACCGTGATGGCCTATGCAGTCCTATGCAAATCAAGATACCTAATTTTTAAAAAAGGTTTTTGTGTAAGAGAGTGGTGGAGCAGAAAAGAAGGGAGTGACAATAGTGGAGAAACCCCCAAAACTTGTCTTGTGGTATTTAAAACTAGGCCATTACAATGACTGAATTCTTACCATGTTTTTGTTTTCGGATTTTCAACCAACAGTCTTCTTTCATTCATGATATCAGCAAATTAACAAAGCACAGCTAATGTAAATAACTCTCACTTTCCATTTTAAAACAAAGAGGTCATTCTCTGATAGCAGATGCAAAGATTGTTTTTCTACATCAGTTTTTGTTTTGTTTTCCAGTCTGCTTTGTCTTTCAGAGGTAGAACCGCCAAATCTCTGAAACTTAAATCAACCCAAAGACAAAAGTATGTTTTGTTTTCTTTCATTTGTTTTAGTGTGGATACATAGTACTTTAAAAGAAACATCATATACAACTCAATTAATATGAATTCATAAAGCTGACATTAAAAATAGGCCAATAATCATTCTTAAGTGAAACCATCTTTATTTTGAAAATTACCAAACATTTTCTACTTTTTAGGTTATTATTAATATACAAATCTGCCTTTTTTCAGAGTAATTGATGAAGGTTAAGACTAAAACAAATGAACGAAGAAAGAAAAAAAAGAGGCAGGTGAAAAAAGGATGCAAATACACGGCCCATATAGGCGCACATTGTTGCAAACATATTTAAATTTGGCTCTTAGCCCCCTGGCAGCAGAAGCAAAAGAGGGGAGACATGGTCAGTTGCATAGTTCTCATTATTAGATGAGAAGAAACATGCTAGTTCCTCAGGGGAAGTGAATGTATTTTTTTTGTACTAATTTCTCAAGGAAATCAGGCTGGTGGGGCCTCATATGGGAAATGCTGAGTGATGTCATACACACTGAACTTAACTGGAGTCCTACAAGCAAGGCTAGAGTCTCATTCTTAGAAACCAAGAGCACAATCTTAAAATGCACTCCAGTTTAGGCAATTTGTAAACCCAAGTTTGAAGCTTCTATCAGTCTAGCTTGAGTAGAAGCATTAACGGAATGCTTAACTTTTAGACAACTCTTCTGTGATGGCTCGACAATAGACAGCTTAATATTGCCTTGCAGTAGGGACAAGGAAGCCCAGTGGTGTGATGAGGTAGTTGAAGGCAGGTATGTTGTTCTGAACCAGATATCTCAACCACAGCATAGAATTCTGACAAAACCAATTTAACAGGTCAGAAGCTGTTACTCTCCTCCCACCGCCCCACACAGTTAGGCTCTGAGCATGAATGCAGACAACTTTTCTCACAGGTAGTTATTCCCAGCATATCAACAAAGAATTGAGTATTCACCTTTTGCAAATAGAGTATTTACTTGGGGCTCATTTAGCTGAGATCGTTCCCATGAAGTCACATGACTGATACTGGAACATGGGGCAAAGCATCCACACTCAGTGCTGTCTAGCACTGACTGCTTTTCTCTATGTGAGCTTTGTGAAGTGATGTTACTGAGACTCACCCAGAGGGATCCAAGTGCCTACGACATTTGAGGCACTTGCCTAGACCATGCTTTCCTGAACCCCTCTCCAGAATCTGGGTCTCAGAGACTTGTCTCTTGCTGATCAATACAGTCAATCTAACATCCTCACAAAGATTTAGTGTATTTCTGATTTTATGATGGAAATAAGATGTTCAAAATTAAGTATAAATTTTAGCAAGTTCCTCTCTTTGATATACTCTGTTTGATCTAAACAGGAATTTCTCTCTATCCAGGAAGACCTTTGCAATTAAGAGCTACATAGGCAAGATCCAAATTTATTCAGGCATAGCAAGAAAAATCTGTCTTAATTTATGAATGTGTCATTGATACAAAATGAATAGAGAAGTCCTTCTTGAGCAAAGATTAATAGGACATTTCAGTATCTTCATGACAGCAAGAAATACTATGTAGAATGTGAAAGTCTTTCTGATACTCCTAAATACCAATGTTCAATTTAACATTCACTGGGCTAGGAGACATCAGTTCAAGGATTAATGTGAAAGAAAACCCATTGCTTTCCACAGTCCAGGGTATCCCTTCTGATGATGGTCCTAATCAAGATGGGTGAGTAAGTTAGCCTCATACAAATGCAGTCTAAATCTGCATTTGACATCTTTTCAAAGGATCAAAATACTGAACAGCATGAAACATGGAAGTTTAACTTCTCTTATTTTTAAGATCTATCTTGATGATTTGCACCTACTTCTAGATCTAGAAGCACATCTTCTGCCAGAATCAATGAAGAGAATGAGTACACACAGATGACTGTATATAAGCAGAATGAATCATACTAGGATATTGAAACATATATCAATGTTTCCCTACATTTATGCCATAGAATGCCATTCACCATTATTAAATTTTGTATGCAAATACATTTGGAAAGGAGCATTCCATTTAATTTAACACAGCTTTCTTAAAAGAAACACGAAAACATTCTTCCCAGTACAAATTGGCTCCAGGTAAGGCATAAAAGCATATCCTGCAGTTCAGGTTACAGAGGCAACTATTTTCATTCCTGAAAGCAGAGAATAAGTAGATGTTTAAAAAGTGCCTAATTTGAGTTTAATACCCAAGTATACAAGGTATTTGCTGCATTGGGAAGAGTAAAAGTTGGGAATAGTAAAAATCAATGAAGAATTTCTATCTCCATCTTATTAGGAAGCTGAATTGTAATAAGACATGTTTGTGTTCAGTGGGCCAAGGAGGTTGGTGACAGTCTCCACTTGGGCAGCCCACAATACCTTCACATTCACCAAAAGTGTCTCTCATGTCTGGGTACAAAAAAATCCAATATTCTTGAAAAAAAATAAGCATTATACATATATGTGGGAATAATTCAAATAATAATTAGGGAAATTTTGAAATGGTATAACTTGGAAGAGAGCATATGAAAGCACAGGGCTGGGGCAAAATAATAATGTTTCTTTGTTTATAGGAAATTCCCAGAAAAAGGTGTAGTTGATGCTTCAAATACAATCCCTTTGGTTTGGTCAGTTTCTTCTTGGACATTGTTACAAGGAGAGGAAGCTGGAAATAAACTCATCTCCAGATGATCTTCCTGGAGACATGCCTACAAGAGTGGTACACCAATTTGAAAATAAACAAGCTGGACAGATTAGGGTAGAAAAGTTTCCAGGAGCTGATCCATAACAATTCTATCTAACAAGAACATTGAACTCAGTTGTGTTCTTTATCAAACGTCAACCTGGAGCCACTGTGTGATCAGCCCAGGAAAAGCCAACTCACCCACCCTTTTCCCACTGAATTGCATACTATTTTCATGACACTGATGGATTTTTTAACCTAGAACTTCTCGCTAGTAGTGCAAGTGTGCTGTCTTCCCAGGCAAAAACTCCCCATTTTTCTGGGGTGTGTGTGTGTGTGTGTGTGTGTGTGTGTGTGTGTGTGTGTGATTTTCCTTTGAAGGAATCTATATAGTAGGGGTTGAGGGGTTCTTGATAAGCACAGTTTATTGAACTGAATATCATACAATCTGAAGGATCTAGAGTTACCAGTTGTCCACTTGAGGCAAAGGGAACAGCAAGCATACTATCTTCTTTCTATTTTAGGCTTTGATTGCTTTTGAAGCAAATGAAGAAGAGCTGGGATTTTCTGAGTCCTTCTCTCCCATTTCAGCCACAAAAAGTGTGAGATGAAGCCCATCCTAGCAAAACCCAAGGCTGGGGAAGGAGGCGATTGGTAACAAAAGAGAAGAATAAGAGACAGAATATAGAGTTCTGTCATCTGGGGTCTTTGGTCACACTCCCTCTCCTTCCTAGGAAGGCAGGTGTGGCACTGTGTGTGACCCCATCTGTTTCCAGAGCCTTCCCTTAGAAAGGGCTTTTTGTATGAATTTTTGTAACAATTCAGTCTTTAAAGGACAGTTAAATTGCATTTGGTAAATTTTAATCCACTTTGAAGTATTTTTAAATATTCTGAATCCAGTATCTGTTTTAAGATAACTTTATATCAGGGGTGTGTGGATACTGAGGGCAAGGGAGGAGGCACATCAGTTACAGTAAACCATAATAGTATTGTTTTCTAATATCATATCTACGTGTATGTGTACAGTATTTAGTTCCCTTCTTAAGGGAGTCTTTGAATAAACATTCAACTTCAAAAATCCTTGTGGTAAGTAAATGCTTTTCAGACTTTCCTGCTCAAGTGAGTTGTCACATGACCAGTGATATAACTGTGTGACTGCTGTCAAATATACACTGGCACATGTATACACGTTTGTGGACTAATGCATTAATGTTTTGGGACAGAAGCAACATACTGGTATGCTAAGATACATCAAAAGAAACATAAATGAGATGTAATGCTGAAGACAGTATGAAAATGGAAGAAATACATATGAGATATTTCTCATTTTCTGTGAGATAAGCATGAGAATCGTTAGAAAAAACAGCAAATTGAAAAAGTTATCCAAATGTCTCCAAGATGATGTAATATATATTTATAATTTTTCTCTTGAAAAATATCTTTCTAGTGATACTAAAGTATATGTTTCTGAATCTCCAACATCTTTTAGATCTACGGGGCATTTGAAAGAATTTATGGTATCTGAAATGCTTATGTATTGTCCAGGATTTTGTCCGGTTTCAAACATATTGTTTGGACCTGGGAGCAAAATGGAGAATACTTTTAATGGTACTAATGGGACTCATCCCATAAATACTGATGTCATTTATGTACCATGACTGATTTAAGAATAAACTTGTGGGGAAACAAAACATTGGCATGAGCACAGATCTACATATTCCAAGTCACAACTTCCAAAGAAATCACAGAGAAACAACTCTCATTGTTTCACTGTGAGAAACAGTTTTTGAAGGAGAGTGTGCAAATGTGATGCTATGACCTTTTGTGGGTAGTTGTTTATTGACTTCACAAAGGGCCCAAAATCTACTAATTATGCAATTAATCGGGCAATGTGGCATCAAAGGTTTCTGAGGGATTCCCAAGCAAGATGGGTGAATAGGAACAACTCTGGTCTGCAGCTCCCAGCAATACCAATGCAGAAGGCAGGTGATTTCTACATTTCCAACTGAGGTACCCGATTCATCTCACTGGGACTGGTTAGACGGTGGGTGCAGCCCACAGAAGATGAACTGAAGCAGCGTGGGGTGTCGACTCACCCAGGAAGCGCCAGGGGTTGGGGAACTCCCTCCCCTAGCCAAGGGAAGCCATGAGGGACTGTGCCTTGAGAAATGGTGCACTGTGGCCCGTTCCCAGCCCAGACAGTACACTTTTCCCATGTCTTCACAACCTGCACACCAGGAGATTCCCTCGGGTGCCTACACCACCAGGGCTCTGTTTCAAGCACAAAGCTGGGCAGCCATTTGGCCAGACACTGAGTTAGCTGCAGTAGTTTCTTTTTTCATACCCCAGTGATGCCTGGAATGCCAGCAAGACAGAACTGTTCATTCTCCTGGAAAGGGCACTGAAGCCAGGGACCTGAGTGGTCTTGCTCAGCAGATCCCACCCGACGGAGCCCAGCAAGCTAAGATCCACTGGCTTGAAACTCTCACTGCCAGCACAGCAGTCTGATGTCCACCTGGGACTCGAGCTCGGTGGAAGGAGGGGGGTCCACCATTACTGAGGCTTGAGTATGCAGTTTTCCCCTCACAGTGTAAACAAAACTGCAGAAAAGTTTGAACTGGGCAGAGCTCACCGCAGCTCAGCAAAGTCACTGTAGCTAGACTACCTCTCTAGATTCCTCCTTTGTGGGTAGGACATCTCTGAAAGAAAGGCAGCAGCCCCAGCTAGGGGCTTATAGATAAAATTCCCATCTCCCTAGGGACAGAGCATGTAGAGGTATGGGCATCTGTGGGCACAGCTTCAGCAGACTTAAACATACCTGTCTGCCAGCTCTGAAGAGAGCAGCAGCCCTCTCAGCACAGCTCTGATAAGGGGCAGAATGCCTCCTCAATGGGTCCCTGACCCCTGTGCCTCTGTCAAAGCTGGGACTTCTGCCCACCATTGGGTACTGCATTTATCCACTATTTTTAGTCACTGCTGGTTTTTACCCATAGATACCTCCTCTACTGCCTGAAGTCTGAACTATGCAATCCAGTAAATAAAATACTGAGGGAAATTAATGAATAAATAAGTGCACACCACTAGGGAATGACATATGCCTCAAGAGACCTCTACCATTCCAACCCCACAGAAGGTAGTGAACTTGCTCACACATTGAGCGCATTGCTACTACAATCGGCATCTGAAAAAGTCATTTTACAAAGACTCTCTGTAACTAAGGAAATTATGCAGAGTCTTCACCCCTGAAAGCACAAAAAGCTGAATTAAG